TTCAGCCCCTCCAGCCTTCCAGCCCCTCCAGCCTTCCAGCGCCTCCATCCAGCCTTCCAGCCCCGCCAGCTTTCCAACCTTCCAACCTTCTAGCCTTCCAGCCCTCCAGCCATCCAGCCTTCCAGCCCCTCCAGCTCCGCCTCCTCATCCGCCTCCACTTCATTCGCAGCGCTACACTGCGCAAGTGCCCCGTACCTTGCAAAATATGCCTGAAAATGACGGGCTGGAAGGCTGGAAGGCTGGAGGGCTGGAAGGCTGGAAGGCCGGAGGGCTGAAGGCTGGAAGGCTGGAAGGCTGGAAGGCTGGAGGGCTGGACGGCTGGAAGGCTGGAAGGCTGGAGGGCTGGAAGGCTGAAAGGTTGGAAGGCTGAAAGGCTGGAAGGCTGGAAGGCTGGCTGAAGGCTGGAAGGCTGGAAGGCTGGAAGGCTGGAAGGCTGGAAGGCTGGAAGGCTGGACGGCTGGAAGGCTGGAAGGCTGGAGGGCTGGAAGGCTGAAAGGCTGGAAGGCTGGAAGGCTGGAAGGCTGGAAGGCTGGAAGGCTGAAGGCTGGAAGGCTGGAAGGCTGGAAGGCTGGAAGGCTGGAAGGCTGGAAGGCTGGAAGGCTGGAGGGCTGGAGGGCTGGAAGGCTGGAAGCAGGAGGGCTGGAGGGCTGGAAGGCTGGAAGGCTGGAAGGCTGGAAGGCTGGAAGGCTGGAGGGCTGGAAGGCTGGAAGGCTGGAGGGCTGGAAGGCTGCAAGGCTGGAAGGCTGGAAGGCTGGAGGTTGGAAGGCTGGAAGGCTGGAAGGTTGGAAGGCTGGAAGGCTGGAGGCTGGGAAGGCTGGAGGGCTGGAAGGCTGGAAGGCTGGAGGGCTGGAAGGCTGGTAGGCTGGAGGGCTGGAAGGCTGGCTGGAAGGCTGGAAGGCTGGAGGGTTGGAAGGCTGGAGGGCTGGAAGGCTGGAGGGCTGGAAGGCTGGAAGGCTGGAGGGCTGGAAGGCTGGAGGGTTGGCAGGCTGGAAGGCTGGAGGGCTGGAAGTAAACCCCCGGAGCTAAAACATACGGATTAAAACAGGTGTCTCATACTACCTCTGTTTGGATCTTGGGTTGCCCGCCCCCCACATGTTTAAAATTCTCACCGTATATGAACAAACAACTTATGTCCGTGCTCAAGCGTGCACATCAGACAGCCTTGGGTTTCAGGCTGGATGGATCGATCTACGGCAAGTTTGACGGTGTTGGGGCCAAGAGTCTTGACAACATGCTCGACTCACCAGAATGCATGTTGCTCCGCGTTCGAATTTGGCGAGGTCGTAGTGCAGCTAGACTCTGTAAGGTTGCTGGAGCTGTCGGCTTAAGGACACACCGGCAGAGTGTGATCATGCACAAACGGCTGGACATCTCAAGGTGAATGCTCCATCTTGCCAAACTTGAATCTGCTGCGCTGACAGCATGCATTCGCAAAGCCAGGAAGCACTTCCTGCATGCGCCGTGTAATTTGCAACATCAGGTCGTCGTCACTTTTGTCTTTTTTGGACGGCATGTCCGCATGTCACTCGATAGCTGTAGAAACAGTACCTTAGACGATGGCTAGACTTACCTGGATGGCATACCAAGTCAATGCGAAGAACTCAGTGAAACATCTTGGTGAAGACTGCATCTTCGAGACATTGGATAGAGTCTACGACAGTATCCACCGAGGAAGTATGCAGCTCGAAACAGCGATCACAACATCCTCTGGCGCGAAAGAAGGTCCCCCCCAAGCAATGCAGGGGCTCTGAACTTGTGTCAAGGAGCTGAAAGAGCTGCCACATCTGCACAGCCCTGCACCGTGCTTGAAGACCTTTCCAAGAACCTCCGAATGCCTGACTACGCGCATAACCCGGAATATGCAGATTAAACATGTCTTATGGACATGTCTTAACTCTTCGACTGGCTCGTCCTGGTCATGGTCCTCAGCTGCAGTCAGCTGAGCCAGCTCCTGCGGACGGCGGCCCATCTTCTGGCCAAGTCCGCTCACACGAAACTTCCAAGCAACACCGGCCCTGTCCTGGTCAACTCTGGGCTTTCGATTGCAAATCCTGCTGCTGCATGAACCTTTGCACGAAACCCTGAGGCCCTGAAGCCTGTGCAAGTGAAATTCGTGCTGAAACTGCTGAAACCCGCTATGTCAGTCGTCAGGCAGAAGCCGGTTACTCTGGGATAAAATGCAGCCTGCTATGTGGCCGTGATTTTTTACAGCCCAGGCCCTAATTTGACGCCGAGTGCATGCTTCAAGCTGAAGTGCTTTAGCGCCCTATGGAGGGTCGAAGGCTTTTATGTTTCGCTGTTTATCTACTGCTTGTCGTCGTGCTTTACATCTAACCCGGCCTTTCCAGAACCTCCCCCAATGCCAAGAAAGCAACTTGGTTGTTGCGGCTAACTCGGGCTGCCATCTCTGCTGCCTGCCTGTGCAAGAGTATTCGAGTTGACTCTTGCGAGCCAAAGATGTAAAGCCACAGTCCCTGAGCTTGCACTGCTGGCTTGAGATACACTCGAGCATGCCTTAACGATAGGCTTCCAAGTCTAAGCATTGCTCCGACACGATGGAAGTACAAGATCATCAAGATCAACCCCGCTGACTTGGAAGCAGTCTGCAGACGTTGCTAAATTCTCAGTACCGGAAAGGCGGCCTGCACCTGGCCCGTGTGCTGATGCAGCATTGTCTCGCTGTCTCTGTCTCGCTCGCTCGCTCGCTCGCTCTCTCTCTGTCTCTCTCTCTCTCTCTCTCTCTCTCTCTCTCTCTCTCTCTCTCTCTCTCTCTCTCTCTCTCTCTCTGTCCCTCTCAGACTCAAGGCGGCCTACACGTTGCATGGAATGACTTACTCCCAGCATATGCGAACGTTTTGAGCTCAAGGTCAGTACTTGCAGCTGACCTCCTCGACGCTGTGAGCCCATAGCCAGCCGCTTCAAAGGCAAAAATCCTAACCTCAGCTCAACAACTTATGTCGCGGAAACATCAATGCTAGGTGCATGTGTGTTCCTCAAACTGACATTGTCGTGA